TGATGGAGATGCCTTGGAAGACGTTATCACCTTTACATATCTGGGCAGCATCATCGACAATCATGGTGGATCCGATGTAGCAGATGTGAGGGCGCGGACTGGCAAAGCAAGGGCTGCATTTCTACAGTTGAAAAATATCTGGAACTACAAACAACTTTCAACCAAAACCAAAATCACGATTTTCAATACAAATGTCAAGACAGTTCTATTGTATGGTGTGGAAACTTGGAGAAATACGACTGTATGGAGCGAAAACTTGAAGAACTACCAATGCCATCATCCAGAAGATACAAGTGTTTATTAACAGTTGTCTACGCAAAATACTTCGTATTCGTTGGCCAGACACCATCAGCAACAACGAACTGTGGGAGAGAACAAACGAGATTCGAGTGGAGGAGGAAATCATTAAGAATCGGTGGAAGTGGATAGGACACACACTACGAAAAGCACCTAACTGCGCCACGAGACAAGCCCTCACATGGAACCCTCAAGGCAAGAGGAAAAGAGGAAGGCCAAGGAACACATTACGCCGAGAAATAGAGGAAGATATGAGAATAATGAACAAAAACTGGACAGAACTGGAGAGAGAAGCCCAGGACAGAGTTGGTTGGAGAAAACTGGTGGGCGTCCTATGTTCCATTGGGGGTAACAGGCGTAAGTAAGTAAGTAAGTAAGTATAATAATCACGTCACTTAATGAACCAATAGCCACGTGGTACTTCGTACGTACGTACGTCAGTTCATGTTGCCATACCACATTAGCACAGAGATGCAATAATCCATTCAAATCACATAGTAGTAGATGTGGTAAAGGTATTAGCAGTAATCGAAGAGATTAGGATTCGAAGATATTATATTCAAGAAGTAGAATCTATTGAAATAAACTTAAAAAGAGAGAAAGCTATAAGTGATAATGATTTCAGAAGATTAGAATTTCATTGAACACAACGAGTGGATACACCTGTGCCATCGCAAACGATTTTTGAGCTATGTCATTGAAGGTCTCTAATCATTGGTGGCTTTCGTCTCGTGGACCTCAGCCTACATCTACCGACATGACTCAGTCCAGTGGTAAGTGATCTCATGGATTTGTGCCATGTTTTGGCTGCCCCTAGCTTTCTTCCAACCTACTCCTACACCACAAAACATAGCTCGACGAGGCAGTCGGTGGTTAGGTATACGTAACACATGTCCCAACCGCCTCAACTGATGAAGTTTCATTACTTCATCTACTGATTTGCCATCTTTAACTAGCACCCGTTTCCTAACGACAGCATTGCTTACTCATGTGAAAAATGATAATCCGATTCCGTTAGCCAGATACACCATCAACAATAATCTATTGTGGCGAAGAATAAACTAGCTTTCACCAACACTCCAGTCGCCTAAACCATGTGTTATTTTCGGAGACCCAAGACTACAGAGTAACTAGTAAGCCTTTCGACGGGGAAGCATGGATTCAACACCCATGACACCATGCGAAATCGATTTCACACATTTTCTGAATGTTTCTTTTTGTGTTTAATTTTTACTTATCAAACATTACTGCCATAGTTTTGGGGATGTTCGATCCCCAGAACTCGCTTGATAAATGCCTTATTTTGGATTTCCCGTTTCCAAGCATGAGCTGATCAGTTGACCTTGAGATTTCATTTCCCACCACGAAAATCCTTCGCTGTGATTGGCTGTTGTGTTTTTAGTGTGCTATTTTTGTAACTGTCCCAAGGACGTTTCTATCATGTTTAAATAAACGAAATTTGTGTAATTGATGGATGTTTGTAGAATATACTTTCTACGCTATATCAAGACTTGTTTTTAACCGTTTCAGATCAAGGTAGCCTAGCCTACCTGCACGCTGGTTCATTGTCTCGTTTGCGTTTATCGACCAAAGTGTGAACCCGTAATAGTTTCAAGCATACCTAATGACGAACTTAACACGAAGCTGGTCATCTGAAGTTCGAAATGGTGTGTGTTTATTTGGGGCTGGCTTTTAATGTAGGTTAAGTTTCCAGATAGCCTACATCTACCAACATGGACTGAGACATGTTGGTAGATGTAGGCTAACTGTTTGGTGTCTGCGAGACGAGAGTCACCAATGGTAAGAGACCTTGAACGACATGGCTCAGAATCGTTTGCAATATCGCAGATGCATCCACTCCTTGTATTCTCTCTAATTCTAACCTTCTGAATACCTCATAGTCTCTACCTTTCTCTTTCTAAATTTATCTCACTGAATTATACTTTTCGAATCATATCTTTGCTGTCTAATCTTCTCTCCATTACTGCTAATAATTCTACTATCACTATCACTCTTGGATTTAAACTGACAGTTACATCTCTGTGCTAATGTGTGGTATGGCAACCTGAACTGATGTACTTATGTACGAAGTTGTTCTGCGTTGTATCTGTCTGTCTGTCTTAAGTTTCTGAAGATAGCAATTATTCATTGTCTAAATACCTAATACACTCATCAATGGTTGATTAGCCCTTTTCGAACTAATCAATTTATATGAATTACATTTCACATTTCACAATGATTTCCTTATATTTAACAAATTCAAAATAGAACATATTATGTAGTTGTTTTATAGACACAATTAAAATTTTGATGTTTTGTTTTATTGTATGTCAATTTGATCTAAAATTGTTTGTAATTGACACATTGAATTATGGTACTACACTACACTAACATTTTGAATGAATGAATGAATGAGTAGAAACAGATGAAAACAATGCACCATCACCACTAGTAGTAGTTAGTTATCAAGTTCAAATTGTCAACAACAACAAAAATAATAACAAACGATAAACATTTGACTGTATTTGTTGACTATTCACAACTATTCATAGTAAACTAAATAGAATAACTTAGAGATTTAATATAGAATTTTTTTTTATACCGGTTACTACTACTATTTCATATGTCATCACATTTAATCTACAGTTTATTAAATACATACATACGAATATCCTGTAATAGATGTAACAGTGATAAATGAGACATATTTAATTCGGATCGATTAATGCTGGGTTGTGAAAATTGTTAAGTTACACGTTTGAATTAATCATGAATCGAGATCAATGTTAGACTATCATTAGAAACTTGGAAGCGATGAAAGACGGTCGTTTCGTCTTGGTATTGGACTCATTAGTGGTAGTGAGTATCCATGACTATTGCAGCTGGCAGGATTCGAACCGAAGACCTTCTGGACCACTGAGCCAGTATCTAACAGTGTTAGTGTCTAACTTCGATTAATGTTTATCAATGACCAACTACGTGTTTCTTGTCAGTTGATTCAGAAGAAAAGGTTTAATTTTTATAAGGAAGGATATTACTTCTCGGCTGACCACACCATGGAAGGGTGTCGCTTGAGGAAGCTGAAAAGGGAATCCGATTGCCATTGGTGTAAGTGAGCTGAGAGTGTGACCGCAGAGCCCAACGGACAATCGCTTGAGGCCGGTCACGCACGGCCTTTTTATGAAAGGTTTTTAGGGAATTAGGTCTGCTCTTTTTAAAGCACTCACTGGGCAGACCTTACCGCATGGTGAGGTGTGACATTTTTTACGGTCGACCTTTTCTAACCCCTCCATTCTATTGTGAGAAGGCAGCGCGTTCGAGGGAAATACACAACTGTCGTCACACCCCACTACAGTCAGCAGTGAGACTTCGCACTCAGACCTTAAGTTGCAACTTTTAGTCTTATCTTTCTCCATTTGACCTGCCTAGCATAGTATGACCTAAAGGAACATATATTCTAGGAAATATAGCTCGGTTGGGTAATCAAGATAGCCAATCTCGACAATTAATCGCACAATCTACAAACCGGTTTCAGAATTTTCACAACTGAGATCTATGACATGCGTTTTCGAAAACTGTACAACAAGCTTAACAATGTCAAATAGTTAAAGGATAGCTAATTTGAAGAGAAGGATGATAACTATTATGGCATCACAAACGACCCACCACAGACAAGAGGTGTTACGGCTCGAATAGAACCAAAAACAAATAGTCAACACGTGATTGAATGTATAAGCAGTCCAATAAATCTTGAATGAAACTGCTTGCAATCATCACAGCGAATAACCTCAAGTTACGTACGAAAGCTTCATGGATTTCTGCCATCTTTTGGTCTGGCCGCCCCTAACTTTCTTCCAACCTACTCCTACACTGCAAAACAAAGCACGACGAGGCAGTCGGTGGTTAGCCATACGCAACACATGTCCCAACCACCTCAATCGATGAAGCTTCACCACTTCATCTATTGATTTGCCATCCATACCTAGAACTCGTTTCCTAATAACAGCGTTGCTTATACGGTTGTCCCAGGATATATGACCAATGCTTCGGAGACACCTATGATCGAAAACCAGTAACCGACGAATATCTTCTACTCTCACTGGCCATGTTTCACAGCCATAAAGTAAGACGGAGCGAACCACTGCGCAGTACACTCGTCCTTTAGTCAGCAAACGAATATCTCGCCTACACCATAAGTGACGTAGGTTGGCAAAAGCCAATCAAGCCTTCTGTATGCGAACTGAGATTTCGTCAGTCACCAGGCTATCAGCACGGATGAAACTCCCAAGATAAGTGAAGCGGTCTACACGTTCGACTACTTCACTCCCTATCACTAGTTCAGCTGACGATGCAACCCAATCTTCAAACAACATTTTGCATTTCGCAGGAGGGGAAAACCCCATCCCGAACATGCTTGCATTGTTGTTCTTGTTACGCAGCCTACAAACTGAATAAGAGTACAGTCTATTGCTCAAAAAGTCATGAATATAATTAATTCACTAGTACATTCAAACTATTCATAATCTTGTATTGATAATAATCGCAACACAAAAACAAGCTTTGTTAATCACCAACTACTGAAATAACACTATGAAAAATATACTCTCAATAAATGATTATTTTATTTCTATAAGTAAAACAATAATCACAATATTCATTGTTACAAGAGGAATGTGTGAATTTTCTCCTTTTTGTCAATCTTTTTATTTATTCTTATGTTGCTGTTGGTGTTGTTGTTGTTTACGACGTCGATTTAAAAATTTCACTCTATTTTTTGAACATTTACGTGCACGTTTAGGATCCCATGGTTTCGATCGATGTGTAGTACGATGAGGGGTGGAAGAAGCAGTAGTAGTAGATTGTTTTAGAGAATGATTTGATATAGTTTCTTGTAATCCAGACTAAATAATATGAAAAAAATGTAGAGAATAGTATTTAGTTTATATCAATGCATAATGCTTATGAAATGTAACAATACAATGTTAATGAGATATATATACTCAACTTTCTGTAACACATTTGTGTAAAAGATACTGATACACAGAGCAATTTTCTCTCGTGTAGCTGTTACGGGTATGAGGGCGGTTGTCACTTCCTAGCTGCCCAAACCGTGGAACGGTGTTTCTTGAGGAACGTGACCGAAGAGCCGAAATGACAACTGCTTGAGGCCGGTCACGGCCGGCCTTTTTATGAATGGATTTTTTGAGTATTAGCTCTGCTTTTGAAAGACCTTAGTTGGCACCCTTACCGCAGGAGACGGTAATCTGTGTGGTTAGGTGTGAAATTTTGAGGGTCGATCTTTTCTAACCCTTCCCTCCTTGTGAGAAGGCAGCATCGCTGCAGATGCTGGTTATCCGAGGGAAACACCTTACTGCTGTCACACCCCTCTGCAGTCAGCAGTACGACTTCGCCCTCAGATCTTGAGTAGCTGCTTTTAGTCTTATCGTTCTCCAATCGACCTGCGTGGCATGGTAGAACCTTCAGGAACATATGTTCCAGCCAGTATAGCTCGGTTGGGTCATCACGATAGGCAAGCCCGACCACTACGTCAAGGTAGCAGATACGGTCGGGAAAAAAGATACTGATACTGTGAATTGTACTATTTACGGTAGCGCTTATAAACAGTATTTGGTTGATGAGTTGCAGAATGTCACCCTGAAGGGATGGATACGTTTTTATATGGATGTGAAACATGACCAGTGAGAATTGAGAATATTCGTAGGTTACTGGTTTTCGATCATAGTGGTCCTCAGACGACTATTGGGTAAGCAATGTTGTTGTTAGGAAATGGGTGTTAGGTAAGGATGGCAGACAAATAGATGAAGTACTGAATTTTTATCAGTTGAAATGGTTGGGACATGTGATACAAATGCCCAACTACGAACTGCTGCGACAAGCTATGTTTTATAGTATGCAGGTAAGTCGGAAGAAGGTTAGGGTCAGCTAAACCAAAACACAGCACAAATTCATGAAGTCATGTCTAATGTTCTCTATTACCTCTATTACAATTACATCTCTGGCAACATGAAATGATGTACGTACGTACGAAGTCCTACGTTGCCATTGATTGACTGATCTCTAATACTTCTACTATATCTACCACTATGAGATTTAAAGTGACCATTGCATCTCTGTGCTATAATGTGGTATAGCAACTTGAATTGACGTAAGTACATACGAATTTCTATGTTCTAGCTGACTGACTGATATGGACCAAAGTATTTTTGAGAAATAGAAGGAGATAGTCAAGAGTACATTGGCTGTGTAAGTCAATGGTTTATAATATAAAGTGCATACATTTTTGGCTAGCCGAATGTATCTGTCATCAAATAAACTTCTCAACTTATTTGGTCATTACAATAAATTGCTTGTAGGTCAATTTTTGCTAATTACTAAAATATATAATTCATTGATACAGACAGTCAAACTTTAATTTTGTTTCATAATTTGAAAACCTAATAAGCGTAACAACATTTATGAAGACAAATAGTATGATAGATAACAGGTCACTTAGAACCTAGGTGTGCCTGTAATCTTAAAGAAACTGATGTCCCCCGGAGGATTCGATCCCGTGTTACGGAGACAGACAGACAGATACAACGCACAACTTTGTACATAAGTACATCAGTTCAGGTTGCCATACCACACATCAGCACAGAGATGCAACTGTCAATTTAAGTGATAGCAATAATAGAAGTATTAGCAGTAATGGAGAAGATTAGGAAGCGAAGATATGATTCGAAAAGTATAATTCAGTGAGGTTACAATTTCATAGAACACAAAGAGTGGATGCACCGGCGCCATTGCGAACAATTTTGAGCCATGTCATTCAAGGTCTCTAACCATTGGTGACTATCGTCTCGCGGACCCCAGCCACGTAGACTACATCTACCAACACGACTCAGTCCACCTGTCAGTGACTGGATTGCTGCCATGTTTTGGTTTGGCCGCCCCTAGCTTTCTTCCATTCTACTCCTACACTGCAAAACATAGCTCGTCGAGATAGTCGGTGGTCACGCAGCTGCTTCACAGTCACAAACGATCAACACTAAGGAAGAGCTTACGAACATAACATTAGTCAATACCAAATGTTCGTTCAGTTGTAGACAAATCATATCCATTGTGTCAACTTTTATATGTCACAATAGAATAGACAAAAATATTGTGAAATGTTAGAAACATCAGATCATGATCATAATCAAGAATTTAACTTGGTTCGCTCCGTCTTACTTTATGGCTGTGAAATATAGGCAGTAAGAATAGAAGATATTCGTAGGTTACTTGTGATCGATCATAGGTGTCTTCGAAGCATTGCTCGTATTTCCTGGGACACCCGAGTGAGCAACTATCTGACTGACTGACTATGGGATTCGAATCGACAATTGCATCTCTGTGCTATGGTGATATGGCAACTTAAAATAATTTATGTACGAGCGAAGTTCTACGTTATAACTGACAGACTGACTGACTAACTAACTGAATAAACACTTGTATCTTCTAGATTATGACTTTTATAATATTTCTCCAGCAAATATACAAATATATTCATAAATTGTTTTTGATAATTTTACATGTTGAGGTGGATGGGACATGTGCTGCGTATGTCTAATCACCGACTGCCTCGACGAGCTTTGTTTTGTAGTGTAGGAATAGGTTGGAAGAAAGTTAGGGGCGGCCAAACCAAAACATGGCAGAAATCTATGAAGTCATTGACGAGTGGACTGAGCCATGTCGGTAATTGTCGGCTACCTGGTTGGGGTCCACGAGATGATAATAATCGATGGTTAGAGACCTTGAATGACATGGCTCAAAATCGTTCGCAATGGCGCCGGTGCATTTATTCTTTGTGTTCTCTCAAACCCTAATCTTCTGGATTCTTCAACACCTCTAGTTTCGACTCTCTAAACTTTTCTCACTGAATCATATTTCTTGAATATATTCTCATCATAACCTCTCCGATAACTTCTAATTCCCTTACTACCTCTTCTACTATTGGATTTGAATTGACGATTACTTCTCTGTGCTGATGTAGTATGGCAACATGAACTGATGTACTTATGTAGAAAGTTCTACGTTGCATCTGACTGACTGACTGACTATCTGAAGTTTGTACTGATGATGTTGTTGTTCAGTAGAAGAACAATGATAAAAGCTTCACACAACCAAAACATCCAGCAGCTCAGAGAACCAAACACTACCACCGGCACCACCACAATCATCTACCTGAACTACAAATCTTCTTCACCAACTTAAGTACTATTGTCTTACATAATAATAATAATAGTTATTATTATCAATGTGAACAACAGAAACTGATGAAATTTTTCATTGAAATTAATCATTTACAGAATACTCTTAACTAATCACGTACAGTATTTGTGAAATAATTTCATCAGTTAAAAGTTTTATATCATTCAAACATAACGTGTAACAATCTAAGTTGAACTTATTTTGGGGTAATTAAAATTAGATTTATTGAAGAATATATGTGTATAAATATATCACGCTTAACAAATCAAATCAGATTTATACAAATAAAAGATAAGGTGACGACAAGACTTGATTACTAATAAGTAGTATCGTTCGTCATGAAACAAGAATTTTACATTTGCATCTACATACATACCATATACATGCAGTTTGATAGAAAATGGGCGCCAACAACGAAAAAGATTAAATTTGAAATAAAACACATTGAAATCATCAATCAATCATTGTTAGACCACTATTGGAAACCTGGAAGCAGAGGACGACCGTTTCGTCCTGGTATGGGACTCATCAGCAATGTGCGTCCACGACTCCTAGTACCACTGGACTAGCACCCAACGGTGTTCATGTCTAACTCTGATCAATCCAGGGATTACGTGCGACCTCACCAATTTGTCCACGGTAGTTACTGCATACAGCCGATAGGGCTGAACTCCACAGATCATGTTTTCTCACTAAAACCCCAAGAATTTCTTCACGAAGCGAGTCACTAGTGAGAAAATTGTCTGGAATTCTATAGGGGAATCAAAATCAAATCTATACTATATGTTAGATCAAGTTTTGGTCAATTAATCAATCAACCATCCCGACCGTAGCTGCTACCTTGACATGGTGGTCGGGCTTGACTATCGTGATGAACCAGCCGAGCTATACTGGCTGGAACATATGTTCCTGAATGTTCTACCATGCCAGGCAGGTCGACTGGAGAACGATCAGACTTAAAGCAGATACTCAAGGTCTGAGGACGAAGTCGTACTTCTTACTGCAGAGGGGTGTGACAACAGTAAGGAGACTCCCTCGAAAAACCAGCATCTGCAACGATGCTGCCTTCTCACAAGGAAGGAAGGGTTAGAAAAGGTCGACCCTAAAAATGTCACACCTCACCCTACTCACGCATTTCCGTCTCCGGCGGTAAGGGTGCCCACTAAGGGCTTTTAAGAGCGGAGCTAATCCTCAAAAAACCTTTAATAAAAAGGCCGTGCGTGATCGACCTGAAGCAGTTGTCCCTTGGGCTCTGCGGTCACGCACCCAGGTCTCTAAGACGAACTCTAATCTACCTTCCTTTTCAGGTTCCTCAAGAAACAACCTTCCACAGTGTGGACAACCGAGAAATGACAACCACCCTCATACCAGTAACAGCACACGAGACCAAATTGGTCAAAATAAAAAAAAATCCTTCTTGTCCAGTTTAGTGAATAGGAGTGATGCTCATTCGAACGCACATACACATATTGATCTTCCTCTTTTTTCTTAAGAAAACACTTGTATTTTGACTGTTAGTAAACAAGCGATTCACATGCGTATACCGAAGATCAACCATTCATTATTAAATTACACATAACAACGTACATACGTACATTTATTTTTCACATTGTATACTTCACACATAACTGATATCTTACTTACTGTGTCACATGTTATTATCTATACTATACTATATTCATTTAACTGGATAAACATTTCGTCTTGATTTGATTTGATTGTTCAACGTTATGTACAATCTTTAATAGTTTTGAAATAGATACAGAACCCAAGACCTACGGCTTCATGTGATCTACTGAGCCGCGGCATCCAATGGTGTTGCGCAAATTTCATCCGTTGCCCGCGACAGATAATTGATTCCTATCGGACACGGGCTGAGCTCCACTAATTACGAGTCCTCACGAGAACTCCAGGAATACATGTTGAGGGTAATCACAAATCAGCACATGATTGTTAATAATGATGGAGATTTATGAAATTGCATTATTTTTATCGATGATATCACGAACCGATCAAAGTTAGACTACTATGTGATTTGTGCTGATGATTACTTGGAAGAAATCTAGACAAGATTGTTGGACAGAAGGTTGAAACTTAACTTACATTTCAATTGATGTGATTATTTCAAATATGATTTTTACATATAATATTATTTTTTATGTAATCGACACCCGATATCTAATCGTAGAAAATGCATTCAAGTGCGAAAATTCTTGTTTCATAACTGTACTACTCATGAGTAGTCAGAGTTCATCCCAATGTTTTTGTACCTTATTGGTTGGATTATGGATGAACGTAATTTTCAAGGATAGCCATTGCAAACCCGTCAAGTTTTTAGGTTGAAACTGCTTTACCATTTTGAATGCTGTTGATATTGTCACATTATTATTTCTAGTGTAAACAGATTGAACCAATTACAGTTGAATGTAAGGGCACATTTATATTTCTTTATAAATATTTCCGAGTAATCAAGACAGCCCTGCTAACCCTAAATAATGGACCTTGGGTGCAGTATCCAAATGAACCTGACATAACGTAGTAATGATTTGTCATGAAATATTGAAAAGAAAATTCGATTAGCATATAGACTTCCAGTGGAAAATACAATGAATTAGTATTATACACTTCCTACAAAATGGTGACTTATTTCATTCTGAAAGCAATTTTTTATGTGAAGTACAGAGAAGGTCAGTCAGTCAGATGCAACATAGAACTTCGTACATGAGAGTACATCACAGTTCATGTTGACATACCACATCAGCACACACAGAGATGTAATTGTCAATTCAAATCCAACAGTAGTAGAAGAGGTAGTAAAGGTATTAGAAGTAATCGGAGAGGTTAGGATTAGGAGATATTATTCAAGAAGAAGTATGATTCAATGAGATAAGTTTAGAAAGTCAAAACTAGAGGTGTTGAAGAATCCAGAAGATTAGGATTTGACAGAACAAGTCACCAGGCCATCAAGACTGACGAGAATCCCAAGATAAGTGAAGCGGTCTACTCGCTCGACTACTTCACTCCCTATCACTAGTTCAGGTGCCGATGAAACCCAATCTTGAAGCAACATTTTGCATTTCGTGGTTGAGAACCTCATCCCGAACATGCTTGCATTGTTGCTTATGTTAGTCAGAAGACTCTGCATTTTGTCATCGTCTTCACCAAGTAGGACTATGTCATCGGCATATTCTAAGTCAATAAGCGAGCCTCCTGGTAGAAGGTCTACTCCAGAAAATTCAGACGAGGATAAGGTTATTTCTAGGAGCATGTCTATGATAAAATTAAACAAGAATGGAGAAAGTGGACATCCCTGATGGACACCACTTGAAGTAAAGAATTCCGTTGACAGTTCGCCATAAGCTCTCACTCGACCAGTGGTGTTTGAATAGAGAGCTTGTATAAGGTTAATGTACTTCTTTGGTACACCTTTCAACGACAGACACTGCCACAGAGCCTTACGATCAACAGAGTCAAATGCCGCCTTAAGGTCCAGGAAAACAACTATTGTAAGACGCCTAAATGTGTGTCTATGTTCCAGGAACTGTCGTAGTGTGAAGATGTAGTCTATACGAATATACAATTAGAAAAGATAGAAAAAAGACATTTATAAAGGAATATTACAATTTAAGTTATGATATAATGAAAATTAACTCCGCCTGTAGACTCTTCCGGGGCTACTGCCGGTCTCAAACCCAGATAAAGCGGAGGAGGGTTGGGCATGGGGAGTTGGCGACCGCATCCCACCAAATAATAATAATAATAATAATAATAATAATAATAATAATAATACAAACCTCATATTCATCTTTTGCATTTAAAACAATTTGTTTCTCTGCAGTTATAGTATTCTTCTGCTTATTATTCTTATTATTTTTCGTTTGTTTCATCATAGACATTCGTTGTTTTTTACTTGATTCCCATATACGTTTAACTGATGTATATAAACGCATTGTAGCTCTAGCATCTTCCACTGAATCATGTTCACCAATTTGTACATTGATACCGAGTACTTTTTGTGTTAATGCTTTCAATGATGGTATACGTCCATTGAATAAATCACGAAATGGACGATAACGTGACGTGTCACGTATAAAACGACGTGGATGTGAAAGTCGTAGAACCTGTGAGCGATAAGAACAAAACACACAATGACAACGACAATAGGATGCATTAACATGTCATGACAATGTAGTGCGTGTGTGTGTGTGTACTTTTATGTCCAAACGCACACAGTCAGTCAGCCAGTCAATTGCAACGTAGAACTTCGTACGTATGTACATCAGTTCATGTGGCGATACCGCCACATTAGCACAGAGACGCAAATGTCAAATCAAATACCATAGTGATAAAGATAGTAGAGGCATTAATGTTAATAAAGAAGACTAGAATTCGAAGATATTATTCAAAAACTATAATTCAGTGAGATGAGATTATAAAGACAAAGGCAGAGGTGCTGGCTAATCCAGAAGATTAGGATTTGAGAGAGCTCAAATAGTGGATGCACCTGCGCCATTGCAAACGATTCTGAGCCATATCGTTCAAGGTCTCTAACCATTGGTGACTTTCATCTCGCGGACCCCAACCAGGTAGTCTACATCTACCAACATGACTCAGTCCAATTGTCAGTGACTTCATGGATTTGTATTATGTTTTGGTCTGGCCGCTCCTAGATTTCTTCCAACCTACTCCTACACCACAAAACATAGCTCGTCGAGGCAGTCGGTGGTTAGGCATACGCAGCACATGTTCCAACCACCTCAACTGATGAAGTTTCACCACTACATCTATTGATTTGCCATCCCTACCTAGAACTCGTTTCCTAATAACAGCATTGCTTACTCGGTTGTCCCACAGTATACAAGCAATACTTCTTAAACATCTATGATCGAATACTAGTAACCTACGAACATCTTCTACACTTAACGGCCATGTTTCGCGTCCATATAGGAGAACGGAGCGAACTACTGCACAGTACACTCGTCCTTTGGTTAGCGAACGGATATCTCGCCTACGCCATAAGTGACGCAGGTTGGCAAAAGCCAATCGAGCTTTCTGTATCCGTGCTGAGATTTCGTCAGTCATCAGGTTATCGGCGCTGATGAGACTCCCAAGATAAGTGAAGCGGTCTACACGCTGGACTACTTCACTCCCTATCACTAGTTCAGGTACCGATGCAACCCAGTCTTGAAGCAACATTTTGCATTTCGAGGGGGAAAACCGCATCCCGAACATTCGAATCTAATGCAGCCATAACAAGATATTATGAATCTAGATCACCGTTAATTTCAAGGAAGGTAAAAATAATTACGTCCGTTAATTCCAACATATTTCATGTTGATCTATTATGCTATAGATAATAAAAGTTGAAAAGTCTTCACTAATTGATTCACAACAAAGTGGTACGATAAATAATTAATTGGCTTAAATAACATGAAGAAGTAGCGAACTGTGCAGTCGTCAAACATCACTGATCATTTACAAGTACGTGCAAGGTGTTCACACAAGCTCTAGAAAGTAATCTACTGCAGAAAAGAAGTTGACGCAAAAAAAACACTTTGAGCACCGATAATCTCCAATCAAATAAAGACTTACACATCGAAATGAATTACTTTATGAACAATCTAGATATTAGTGTATTTCTTATCACCTCAGTTGTACCGCAAATTTCCGAATACTCTGCTACAGTCGAGAGGTGAGAGAACCTGCTTCTTCTCTCCCAAATGTTCTCAAATGACCAGTCACGTACAACCCCTTTTAGAGAACTCCTACTTACTGTCTTCTCGCGACACAGGTGTTGTTTACGAAATTGAGAGGATAGAAATAATATGTTCGGAGCTTTAACCAGGTTGGTGGTTACGGATGATCTACCTAGGCGATGTTTTGCGATGTAGGAGTAGGTTGGAAGAAACCTAAGTGGGGGGGGGGGGTCAAATCAAAACATGACACAAATGCATGATGTCACTGACAACTGGAATGAATCGTGTTGGTAGATGTAGACTACCTGGTTGGGGTCCGCGAGACGATAGTAACCGATGGTTAGAGACCTTGAACGACATGGCTCAAAATCGTTTGCAATGGCGCAGGCGCATCCACTCTTTGTGTTCTCTGAAATTCTAATCTTCTGAATTCATTATTATCTCTGTCTTTATATTTCTAAATTGATTTCACTGAATTATACTTTTTGAATAATATCTTCAAACCCTAATCTCCATTATCGCTGATACTTTCACCATATTTAGCAATATGGGGTTTGAACTGACAACTGCATCTCTGTGCTAATGTGATATGGCAGCCTGAACATATGTACGTACATAACAAGTTCCATGTTGTAAATGACTAACTAACTGACCTAGAAGAGAGTTGGAAAAACCCTATTCCAACCAATGGTACACATGGGTCTCAAGACTGCCTCTCTTAACGTTGATCCACTGTTGTGTAGATAAAACCTTTAGGTCAAAGGCCTCGCTCGCGGAGTGAGTCTCTAAGAAAACCACCTATTTGGGCAGTATCCTAGTGAACTTTTGGTGTTCCTTTTTTTAAGAATATTAAAGATTTCCATTGTGAAAATTAGAACAACACATATAAGCGAACAATATTGTTTTTGATTAGATCGTCATCAGGCCTCCTCTACGGGCATTTACAAATTCAGCTGCTCCTTTGGAGACAGCTATATCGGGCGTACGTACTTCCAGGCAACTTAACCAAAGAATGAGTGAAAATCTCCCTGCATGGTTTACGAAGGGTCAGTCAAAAATAATACGCAGTTCTTATCTATCTTAGCACACCTGTTAGATAGTGGTCACATTGTAGATAAGCCTAGATCTTTTCGGGTGATCTATCGTATACCTCAATCATTGCAGAACGGAGTTTGATCCCGTCTCCTACACACATTGCACAAACCATAGGGATACGTACATTCAACCGTAATTTATGTGTTCAGATTAAATTCGTGACACCCCTATCTCTTCTGTGGCCCGGATATGACGTAGTTAACGATTGACATTATATCTTTTTATTTTATTTTTACACATTTGCCTAAAAAGTAATGGTTTTAATGTTTTTTTTAATGTTTATTTGAATTCTATTCATCCACGTTTGACCTACTTTAGTTATCATATTTTATAAATTTTCCTACTACTATCGGTTCACCTATCTTCCTACTACTATCCACTTGTACGTTTGCCTTTTTCATTTCATTGTGATTATTGACTCATAAATTGCCTTGATTGGTTTAATATTTTCACATATAAATATTGATGTATATTCGAGAGAGTAAAGCCTGATGACGATCTCATCATCGAAAACAACCATATTGTTCGCTTATATGTGATGTTCTAAGTTCCTTTTTTTTCTACCAATGATTGTGTAGAAATCAATCTAATCCTTAATACATAAAGACAATATTTCATCATTTCACTTACTTTAAGATCTTTTAAAATAGAATGTCCTATTAATATTTTATTTTTTATTAATTCTGCAACTTCTTTATGTACATCACTGAATGATCGAGCTGGACCATTTTTACGTAAATCACGTGGTCTTATACCAGAGAATTTTGTTCGATAATCAACAACACGTTCTTCTGGACGTACATATGCATCGAACAATGTATGACCAAATTGATTGACAATAGAAACACGTGCTAAAGCATCATCTTTACCTTCATAACCAACTCCAACAAATTCACAATCCATTGCAATACGACGTGTTGGACTGTTTTAAGAGTAGGGGGGAAAAACACACATGTACACGGAAATACATATATACACATATCAGAAAAGAACAATTATGATTTTAAATTTTCTATTCAGTAAACATTCTCGTCGAAACGGGATACTAAAATTTGTCTAAACATATTTATTGCATTGAGGGGTTGTTGTGAAGACTAGTAAGTTTATTTAAGCCATGAATTGATCAATGTTAGACCACCATTAGAAACCTAGAACCACTGGACGGCCGTTTCGTCCTAGTATGGGACTCCTTAGCCGTGCACATCCACCACTCCTGCACCCCACAGGATTCGAACTCAGGACCTTCGGTATTGTGGGCGAACGCCTAACCAACGGATCACTGAGCCGGTATTCAACGGTGTTAATGTCTAACTTGATCAAATTCACGGAGTTGCGTAACATCATACACTGTATACATCCGAACAGGTTTGAAATTCACTGGTCACGACTTCCCACTAGGACTCGGAGAAGATTCCTCACGAAGCTAGTCACTAGTGAGCACATGTAACTGCATTGCGGGGTTGTTGTGAAGGGTGCAGGGGTCGTGGATGCGCACTGCTGATGTGTCCCATACCAGGACGAAACGGCCATTGTCTAGTGCTTCCAGGTTTTTAATGGTGGTCTAACATTGATCTCGATTCATGGTTTCAATAAACATATTTACTGAAAAAAGAATGTTCACTGAAAAACAGATGTATCACTTTGTAATTCTCCGTAGTTAAGCGAATAGATTTTACTAGGAAGAATAACCTATAACCTTTGTACGTATTTAACAGATTCAAACTTTTGGGGAATATGATAAATTTCGTGTGATGCACTATACTGCTTATAATAATTTTGAGTAGTATCATTTCAAATGTCGTCTGATTTTTTATTACTGATAAGGTAACATTTTACTATTTCCAAAACCGACTTCAAATTTCTTACGCTTACTGAAATCATGTTTAATTGTAACATTTTCCAATTCTTCTAACCATATTTCTCAATCCATTGGTTGGTCGATATTGTCGTTTTATACACTTCAGATAATCCATTGTTTCGACTTGCGGATTTCAGGAATCACTTAATCATTGGGGTCAGGCGCTTCAACCAAATTACCAGGTATGCTAAATCTATTCTTAATCATCTAACCTCATTATACATATATATATATACATGTATAATTACTGAAGCTGACCAGTATTTTCCAATCTACTCCATCCTGGGCCTTCTTTTTCAGTTACATCCAATTGACGTTCCAATTCTCGGTGTAATGTGTCCTTGGGTCTTCTTCTTTTCCTTTGTTCTTGATGGTTCCAAGTAAAGACTTGCCTCGTGACGCAGTTGGGTGATCTCCGCAATATGTGTCCTATCAACTTCCAGCGCTTCTTCTTCTGTTGGAATCTGGTTTGTTTTCTCCCATGGTAGGTTGTTGCTGATAGTGTCTGACCAACGGATCCTCAGTATCTTGCGTAGACAACTGTGAATAAATACTTGAATCTTGTGGATGATGACTATCGCGGTTTGCCAAGTTTCTGCTCGATACAGCAGAACAGTTTTGACAATTGTATTTAAAACTCTGACTTTTGTGTTTGTCAATAGTTGTTTTGAGTTCCAACCTCTCACAATGTGTGAACATTCCATGTGCCTATATTAATGGTTGCTCTGGTTGTTAAAAATGGCATTGACTTCGTAAATTCCGAAGAAACTCAACTTTTATCATGAGACGACACAACTCTTCCAAATGAAGATTTTCCAACTTCCAGAGCAGAGTTTAAATGACTTGAAATATTTTTTCTGGTTAGCAATTTTTTGGCCAGTTAGTTTTCTACGTAATGGGGTCACTAAACCCGATGCCTAACCATCATCCTCCTTTATCCGGACTTGGGATGGGCAGTAACCTCAGAAGGACTCCAGACGGAGCTTATTATATATATATATATATATATATATATATATATATATATATAATATAACTACCTACAAATTAAACTAATCTCCACAAAAACCCTCTAATTATTATATGAGGTGTTTAGGTGTTACAACAAAAGCATTATAGCTAGACTTCGTTATGTATACAGTGCACTGCTATCTGAACGTTAATTTAGCTGATGAAAATAGTCCTCAATTGATTTTCGTTATCGATCGTTTGATACAGGCACAGATTAGTTTCTTAGAATACATGTGGTCAAGTTACTGTTTTTGCTAACTCGGAATTTTATGATTCGACTGTTGAGTCAATATCTTTGAACGAATCTTAACATGAGAGTATTTTATTACTTACTTACTTACACCTGTTACCCTAAATGAAGCATAGGCTGCCGCCGACCAGTATTCTCTAACCAACTCTGTTCTGTGCTTCCCTTTCCAGTTCTGTCCAATTTTTGTTCATTCTTCTCATGTCTTTTTCTATTTCTCGGCCTAATGTGTTCCTAGGGCCTTCCTCTTTTCCTTTTGCCTTGAGGGTTCCATGTAAGGGCTTGTCTCGTGACGCAGTTAGGTGCTTTCTGCAATGTGTGTCCTATCAACTTCCACCGCTTCTTTCTGATTTCCTCCACCACTGGAATCTGGTTTGTTCTCTCACACAGTAGGTTGTTGTTGATGGTGTCTGGCCAACGAATTCGAAGTATTTTGCGTAGATAACTGTTGATAAACACTTGTATCTTCTGAAGGATGGCTTTGGTAGTTTTCCATGTTTCCGCTCCATACTGTAGAATTGTCTTGACAATTGTATTGAAAATCCTGATTTTGGTTTTGTTTGAAAGTTGTTTGGAGTTCTAGATATTTTTCAACTGTAGAAATGCAGCTCTTGCTTTGACAATCCGCACCCTCAAATCTGCATCGGATCCACCTTTCTCGTCAATGATGCTACACCCAGAGTATTTTATAATTATGATTATTTCTATGAAAAAAGGCGGTCACAATTTAAAAGGCATTCAAAGTGTATGAATAAAGTATTTTCAATAATAGTCATCGGTTGTCAATGTTTTCTCTAACTGACATCTTTCAGAATAGTTCAGAAAAAAAGGCAGTCTTTTCGACAACATACATCAAACAACACGTCGTAAAATTACTAATGCTTACCCTGTAAATGATGTTAATTTCACCAAGGATTTTGTAGTGGCCGATTGATCTTGCAATGAATTGTCAATCAAAGCTTTAGGCACATCATCAAACCATATTTCTTTTGTGCGATTATTTGAAGTTGATTGTTCTTTCAAATTAATTGGTTGATATGATTTATCACGATTTGACTTTTTATCTGTTGTCGTGAATTTACCCTTTTTATTTGATCTGATTGGAGAAAAAAGTAAGTTAAAATGTCAACAGTAATAATTTGACAATTATATTTCATGATTATTTAATTAGATGAGATAATATTGATATTTCAGATAGTTACAAAATATCACGGGGTTGTGAAGATCATTAAGTTACACAATTTTTGAAACCATGAACCGATCAATGTTAGACCACCATTAGAAACCTGGAAACACTGGACGACCGTTTCTTCCTGGTATGGGACTACTCATCAGCAGTGCGCATCCACGACTCCTGCAGTGGTCTATCGGTTAAGGCGTTCGCGCACAATACCGAAGGTCCTGGGTTCGAATCCTGCGGGGTGCAGGAGTCGTGCATGCGCACTGCTGAGGAGTCCCACACCGGGACGAAAATGCCGTCCAGTGCTTCCAGGTTTCTAATGGTGGTCTAACATTGATCGGTTCATGGTTTCAAAAAATGTGTAACTTAACGATCTTCACAACCCCTGCAATGCAAATTACCTGTGCTCACTAGTGACTAGCTTCGTGAGGAATCTTCTCCGAGTTCCAGTGGGAAGACGTGACCAGTGAAGTTCAACCTGTTCGGGTGTAGGCAGTGTCTACCGAAGACTGTGTATGAGGTTGCGCAACTCCGTGAATTTGATCATGTTAGACATTAACACGGTTAGATACCGGCTCAGTGGTCTATCAATTAAGGCGTTCGCGCACAATACCGAAGGTCTCAGGTTCGAATCCTGCGGGGTGCATGAGTCGTGGATGCGCACTGCTGAGGAGTCCCACACCGAGAGGAAACGGCCGTCCAGTGCTTCCAGGTTTCTAATGGTGGTCTAACATTGATCGGTTCATGGTTTCGAAAAATGAGTTACAACATACTCAATAATGATCTCATGCAAAGGTCGGATTGAACTATTGTTTCATTAGTAAGTTTATTTCCGAAAAGGATATGTTCGGCAACTCCGCTTGGAGCTTCCCCTTTGGAGTTACTGCCGGTCTAAAGCCTGGATACAGGAGGGTCGGTAACCCAATCCCATAGAAAACTAACCCACTAAGAAAAATAACTGAGCCCAATACCTCTTGTGTGAGAGCTAACATTACTATCTGTTGAGTCTCAAACAGGAAGAAATGAAAAGAAGACCGGACCACTAGAAACTAGTAGTTGTGGAACTTAATTGTTCAACTTCAAAATCACTACTTTATCAAATTATACGAATGTACGGTCAAATGATCTAGGTTTTGGGAAAGGTTTCAGTAGTATATTTCTTTATTTAAGCAGTTTTTTTTCATATTTCATTGAGATACATCACAATGATACTCAAAAACTCTTAAACTGACAATAATCATGTGCGCTCACACTAGTGACTATAGTTAGAAGCTGTAACCAATGCAGTTCAGCCATATTGGGTGTAAGGTAGTTAGTTAATGGCCAAAACTAATCGATGAGGTCGTACAACACCATGGATTGACTGAAGGTAGGCATTCAAATCGTTATATGTCCCAACTCAGTGATTTTCAGGTTTTGCATGATGGTCAAACATTGATCAACCGATGCATGGTTTCAATGAAGAAACAAATGAGAAAATGTTCTGACATTTTAGACGAACATTTTCGCTACATAAATCCAACTTTACTTTCTAGGGCAAAAATAGTGAACGTTCTCTTAATGAACATGTAAATAATGTTCGTTTTTTTTTTCTGTACGCACTGATTTTGATCGGTTATTTTGAACTTGGAGATGCATCACAGCTAAATGGATATACAGATAGAGGGTTATATATAGAAAACAAGATTTAAGAGATTTGATTTCTGTGCATCTGCCACAGTAGATTTCAAATACACCGAAGGAAAAAGTAAGATCCTTCGATAAAACACATCATGCACGCTGATATGATTTTGAAATGGTGGAGAAAATTTGTAGTTCAGGTGGATGATCGTGGTGGCAGTGTTTGGTTCTCTGAGCTGGGTGTTTTGGTTGACGTACATCTTCTGAACAACATCATCATCAGCACAAACTTCAGATAGAAGAAGTGAAGTATTCGAATTTCTCCACGTTTGACTTGTAGCTTGTTCTGCTAACCTCGATTTTGACTGGTTGCTGTTGTTTACGCTAGAGGATTTTTAGAAGCTTGGCACTCAGGTCAATCAGCAATCAACAAACACATCGACATTGACTCAATTTATCAACTAATCAGAAAAATCATAAACAAACATAGGATCAAGAAACAGATGAAAAGGGCGAAACAATCAAAACAAAGGTGCAAACAACGACAGGTTTAATGTCAACAACAACCAATCAAGATTGAGGTTAGCAGAACAAGCTACATGTCAAACATGGGGAAATTCGAATGCTTCACTTCTATCTGAAGTTTATGCTGATGATGTTGTTCAGATGAATAATGAAAGCTCCACAACCAAAACACCACCACATACATCATGCACCAACCAAATCATACTTGATGGAGAAGCTTTGAAAGTTGTAGAAAGCTTTACATATCTGGGCAGCATCACTGATGATGAACAAAGTGGATCTGACGTAGATATAAAGGCGCGGATTGACAAAACATGGTCAGTATTTCCACAATGAAGAACATTCACAACTCAAAACAACAATCACCAAAGTCACAATTTTCAATACAAATGTCAAGACAGTTTTACTGTATGGAGCGGAAACTTGGAGAACTACGCAAAAGGCATCATCCAAAAGAAACAACTGTTTATTAACAGTCATCTACGCGAAATACTTCGAATTCGTCAGCAAGACACCATCAGCAACAATCTAATGTGGGAGAGAAAAAACCAGATTCCAGTGAATGAAGAAATCAGTAAGAGACGCTGGATGTGGATAAGACAAACATTGAGGAAATCATCCAACTGAGTCACGAAACTAACCCTCCATTGGAATCCTCAAGGCCAAAGGAAAACAGGAGGACTTATGAACACATTAGGCCGAGAAATGGAGACCAACATGAAAATAATGAACAACGATTGGATATAATTGAAAAAGAAGGTCCAGAACAGAGTATACATTGTAGGATACTGGTCGGCGGCCTACGCTCCACTGGGAGGGGGGGTTGGGTAATAGACGACAGGGTAACCAATACGATGATACAACAACATGTCAATCTTATTATCATTATTATTGATGTATTAAATTTAAATATAATATCAGCATAAAATGTACAGCATCAATTAAATTTACATTACTCAACCTAATCGATTGAGACTCGAATGAAGATGTGCTCTTAACTGATACATCTTTATCTGATTGTACAATTGGCTGGCCAAATAATTTAGCGGAGCACAGCCGAGGAGACAGGGGAAGGCAGAGACATCGGGGACTGGGCTGTAGATAAGATACGGAGGACAAATGTAAATCAGAAGACACCCAATCGGGGCCAGGCTGCCACCATTCCGCGCCGCTAGCTCGCTCCCCCTTCCATACCGCTGTAGAGAGCGCCCCGCCCCCGCGCGCAGCGCGCCCACCCACCACGACTCGAAGAAGCAGAGAGTTAGGGACAGGAGGGGATTCCCAGGGTTGTTCCGGGCGGTTTTGAATCCATGTTATAGAAGAAAGAAGCGTAGAACGTCAAATCAGCTTGACATCTACACCTCGGCACGCTCGTAGGTGCGTGTTTTCAATCAGTTTCCCCACGTCGATTATACTTGTAACTACTGCCGGGTTACTTCGACAAAATGCATCCAGATTTTTTTTTGAAGTACGACGTGCTTTACCCTAGAGCCCAGATTTGTATGGCACGTTATCAGATTTGCTGGAACTAGGAAGACCGTTCCGGTGGGGCGTACTCCTGGTCATAAAACGTTACAGATAATGCGTATTTATACATTTTGGTCGAATGAGAAAGCAACATTTGAAGTGACATTGATAGTTAGGTCAACCAATAAGAGACAGCATTGGAGCACGTGACATTGATAGCTAGGACGACCATAAAATTGACCAGTAGGAATTAACCAATAGGAATAGACCAATAATTCTCTTAGGATTTTGGATGAATATCCTAACACAGCTACAACGAAGAACTTGGTGCGTACGTAAATATACATGCAGTTCAAGTCCCCATACCATTTGAACATAAGAGAGATGGAATTGTCAATTCAAATACCATAGTAATACAGGTAACAGAAATATTAGCGGTTATGAAGAACAACAGGGGTTAAAGATATCATTCAAGAAGTATAATTCAGTGAAATAAGTTTAAAAAGAGAAAAAAGCCCTGAAATGAATTCACAAGATTAGAATTTGAGAGAAGATAAAAAATGGATGCACTTGCACCATTGCAAACGATTCCGAGCCATGTCGTTCAAGGTCTCTAACGATTGGTGACTTTCGTCTCGTGGACCCCAACCAGGTAGTCTACACCTACTAACATGACTCAGTCCAGTTGTCAGTGACTTCATGGATTTGTGTCACGTTTTGGTCTAATCGCCCCTAACTTTCTTCCAACCTACTTCTACACCACAAAACATAGCTCGTCGAAGCAGTCGGTGGTTAGGCATACGTAACACATGTCCCAACCACCTCAACTGATCAAGTTTCACCACATCATCTATTGATCTGCAATCCTTACCTAGTACTCGTTTCCCAACAACAGCATTGCTTACTCGGTTGTCCCAGGATACACAAGCAATGCTTCGGAGACATCGATGATCGAATACTATTAACCTGCGGAAGTCCTCTACTCTTAACGGCCAAGTCTAGCATCCATACAGTAGGATGGAGCGAACTGCTGCACAGTACACTCGTCCTTTGTTTAGCAAACGGATATCTCGCCTGCGCGATAGGTGACGCAGGTTGGCAAAAGCCATTTACATCACCATCAGCCACCGATGGAGGACTGTCGCTCGTTCTGGGGCACATGTTTAGATTCAGATCATGTCCTAGTACGAGCGCGTATCTGTTTGAAGCTTACTGGATGTAGGAAAGATACCGTAAGAAAGCCTCTTAGGGTTCTACTTAATGATAATAAAGCTAGGAATATATTTCAGGAGCAACTAGAAAGAGAGTTAAGAAACCATGTAAGCGATTCCCATCCGGAAGCAGGTTGGAATGATATCAAAAAGGCTGTGGAAACAGTAGTGATATCTGCTAGTAAGGTTAACCATACGGCTAGAATGAAGCCGTGGGTCTCAATAGCATCCACCGAACTGATAAGTGCTCGAAAACTTATCCCTTCTGGCTTTGAGTGCGATGAAGAGCGGAGTCAGCTTAGACGTAGGCTGATAAAAAGCCTACGCAATGAATGAGAACAGTGGTGATTGGAGAAAGCAAAAGCGATGGAAAAGGCAGCGGCGATAGGCAACAGTAGACAACTTTTCCGACTTATCAAGGAAACTGGTATTAGGAACCAAAATATGAGTGAGACTATTTCGGAAAAGGATGGTCTTATTACCCATTCTCAATCCTGGAGACTGGACCGACAGGCAGATGTTATCAGAAATGTTAATAACAGGAATCTAAATCACTGACTTTAAACAGGTTTTATCAGTCAGCCAGTCAGTCAATCAAAGTAGAATCCAGCACAACTGAACCAACGTGAAACCTAACGATATTCCTTAATGGGGAATTAAACCTGAGTAAATAAATCCGGATTCAAAACCTGCAACCTACTGGTTGAAAATTAAGTATCATTAGGCCATATTTCTTGTGAATTAAAATACTCAAACGAGTGTTCCAACAGTGAGCAACTTGAAACACAAAATCATAAGTCAGTTGCAACGTAGAACTACGTACGTATGTACATAAGTTCATGTTGCCATACCACATTATTAGCACAGAGACGCAAATGTCAAATCAAATCCATAGTGATAAAGATAGTAGAGGTATTAATGTTAATAAAGAAGACTAGGGTTCGAAGATATTATTCAAGAAGTATAATTCAGTGAGATAAGGTTAGAAAGACAAAGGTAGAGAAAGTGCTGACGAATCCAGAAGATTAGGATTTGAGAGAGCTCAACGAATGGATGCACTTGCACCATTGCAAACGATTCCGAGCCATATCGTTCAAGGTCTCTAACCATCGATGACTATCGTCTCGTGGACCCCAACCACGTAGCCTACATCTAACAACATGACTCAGTCATGTAAAAGTAAAAGATAGATAATTTTTATCCAAACAAAGGATATACATATATGTACATATACACCTACAACACAAGATTAGCCTAACACAAACACACACAAAACAATGTTCAAACTTACTCACCTTGAATCATATTTTGGTTTAAATTTCTTCTTGTTTTTTATAACTGAATAATGTTTATTTGCATTACTGTTATTAACTTTTCGTACGCTTGATTTTGTATACATTCTACAGTGAAAATCTATGAAATAACTAAGAATTTTGGTTGTTCATGTAGTTGACGAAAACCCAAACAGTCGAAGAAACAGAAAATGAAAAAGTGAAATAAATTATACTAAGCAATAATCTATTCCTTGTTTTCTTTTTTTTATGAAACAAAAAATAAACTATTTAGCAAGAAAAGATTTTTATATTTATGAATAATTTATATATACATACAACACTTCTATTTAACAACAATTCAAGCAGAATAATGTAACACACCTAAAGGATAACCAAGATTTGCAATTAATCGTATCACTGGACCACAACCTCCAATAAAAAATGCACAATTTGAATGATATTTTAATTGCAATGAATCAACTGTATCAGATAAATCCATGGTATCTACAACAAGAATATGACTTAGACGTGAATTAGGTGGATTGTGTAAATCTACTGATGCCAGTAAATTGCCAATATGATCCCACATATACAATGTACTGGAATTACCACCGGATACAATACGTGAATCATTATCGATATCACAAAAAATAGCGGTTTGTGAATACCAAGTATCGGATACACCTAAAAATAAAAAAGAGAAAAATATTCAATGATCAAGGTTAGTAATTTCAAAGAATTGATTTTATTTCAGAATATTTTCCCTGACCAATGAATATACGGAAATCAAAATTAAAAAGGGAGTTTTTTCGGCATAAAATATGAAAAAATAAAACACTTTCCACCAACCAACGATCAATTATGATGATGATTATTAATGAACGAAACATTTTTATTGTCTACATAAATGACTATTGCAACTACTTGATTGCAAACAAAACTCATTTTATGCTTTCTTATCCTTTCCAATCTGTATAGCTAGTCTATGGTAGAAAGACTGTTCTATCTAGATGATCTGAAGTCGGTGAATGGATGAAAGTTGAATACGACTTCCAAACCGGCATTCTTTCAGTCAGTCAGATGCAACGTAGAACTTCGTACGTAAGTACATCAGTTCATGTTGCCATACCACATCAGCACAGAGATATAGTTGTCAATTAAAATTCAATAGTAGTAGAGGTAGTAAATGTATTAGAAGTAATCAGAGAGGTTAGGATTATAAGATATTATTCAAGAAGTATGATTCAGTGGGATAAGTTTAGAAGTTAAAACTAGAGGGGTTGAAGAATCCAGAAGATTAGAATTTGAGAGAACACCAATAATAAATGCACTGGCGCCATTACAAACGATTTTGAGCCATGTCATTCAGGGTCCCTAATCATCGATTATTATCATCTCGCGGACCCCAACCAGGTAGCCGACAATTACCGACATGGCTCAGTCCACTCGTCAATGACTTCATAGATTTCAGCCATGTTTTGGTCTGGACGCCCCTAACTATCTTCTAACCTACTCCTACACTACAAAACAAAGCTCTTCGAGGCAGTCGGTGGTTAGGCATACGCAGCAAATGTCCCAACCATCTCAACTGATCACGTTTCAATACTTCATCTATTGATCTGCCATTCTTACCTAGCACCCGTTTCCTAATAACAGCGTTGCTCACTCGGGTGTCCCACGATATACGAGCAATGCTTCGAAGACACCTATGATCGAAAACCAGTAACCTATGAATATCTTCTACTCTGACTGGCCATGTTTCACAGCCATAAAGTAAGACAGAGCGAACTACTGCACAGTACACTCGTCCTTTGGTTAGCAAACGGATATGTCGCCTGCGCCATAGGTCACGCAGGTTAGCAAAAGCCAATCGAGCTTTGTGTATCCAAGCTGAGATTTCGTCAGTTACCATGCTATCAGCACTGACGAAACTCCCCAGATAAGTGAAGCGGTCAACAGGTTCGACTACTTCACTCCCTATCACAAGTTCAGGTGCCGATGCAATCCAATCTTGAAGCAACATTTTGCATTTCGTGGGTGAGAACCTCATCCCGAACATGCTTGCATTATTGCTTAGGGTGGTCAAAAGAATGCATTTTGTCATCGTCTTCACCAAGTAAGACTATGTCATCGGGATATTCTAAGTCAATGAGCGAGCCTCCTGGTAAAAGGTCTACTCCAGAAAATTCAGACGAGGATAAGGTTATTTCTAGCAGCATGTCTTGAATAATATCTTCAAATCCTAGTCTTCTTCATTACCATTAATACCTCTAATATCTTGATCACTATGTGATTTGATTTGACATTTGCGTCTCTGTGCTAATGTGGTATGGCAACATGAACTTATGTACATACGTACGAAGTTCTACATTGCAACTGACTGACTGAAGTCCACTATAAATTGTGATTAAGTATGAAACCGATAAAAACATCAACAAAAGTATTGTGACCATCAGGAAAATCTAACCTTCAGGGTGTAATATAGAAACATCTCTTCCGGCACGCCTACTCCATAAAGATAGCCGAGGTCCTCCTCCTGTAACGAACCAATCCTCTTCAGATTGTTTGCAGGATAAAGTGGTTAGCCAAGACCCAAGTTTAGGTCGAGATAATATACTAGTTAAATACGGTCTGAATATAGACGAAGCCTGAAAAATTCCATTCTGTATAATTCTCTGATCCCAAAAGCAAACAGTACCATCTTCAGAACTGGTACCGAACTAACGAAATAAAATATTAGATTGGAAAAGCGAACCTCATGTGTTCCAACATTGCAAATTCTATAGATTGTAGATTTATGTCCCGCTAATATAATATTTTCTTGGATACCACAACCAATAAAAAATGTATGAATAGTTCCATCACCTAATGCTGCCAACAAGCTATCACTCTCTGCATTATAACACAATCCAGTAACCTAGACAGAAATAAATGAAATGTAACTAGTGCATTAATTTATCATTCTTACTTCAGAAACAGTTGCATAAATATTTGTAGATGTCAGATGAACTGTATCATAATATTTTAGAAAGCCATCATTAGGTGTAGTCCATTTGTATATAACAATTAAACCGACTGATCCACAAAAGACAAAATCTCTCCCGAAACATAAAGAGTAAATAGTTCTTGCATATTTCACGTTAATAATACACTCTGGTTTTCCTTCAATTTGTGCATCTTTAACAAGGAAATTGATAGATCAACTTTCACATACCATAGGATAGCGAAAATAACGAATAAATCAGTATTTTGTGTGTATTAGTTCCAAAGAGTAGATATTTTCTACATGGAGATGTAACAGACGATAGTATGAGTGTATGAGCTATTATCCTATTATCGTTCATATCTGTAAGAAAACAAAAAGTGAAAAAAAAACCTGTATGAACCATATCATCTCTATGAAACATACTCAGAACCTATTTTAGTTACACGCATCAATTTACATCACCTCAGAGAGCTTTGTTTTGTAGTGTAGGAGTAGGTTGGAAGAAAGTTAGGGGCGGCCAGAACAAAACATGGCTGAAATCTATGAAGTCATTGACGAGTGGACTTAGCCATGTCGGTAATTGTCGACTACCTGGTTGGGGCCCGCGAGATGATAATAATCGATGATTAGAGACCTTGAATGACATGGCTCAAAATCGTTCGCAATGGCGCCGGTGCATTTATTATTGGTGTTCTCCCAAATTTTAATCTTCTGGATTCTTCAACACCTCTAGTTTTGACTTTCTAAACTTTTCTCACTGAATCATACTTTGTGAATAATATCTTATAATCCTAACCTCTCTGATTACTTCTAATACCTTTACTAACTCTACTACTTTTGGATTTAAACTGACAATTATATCTCTGTGCTGATGTGGCTTGGCAACATGAACTGATGTACTTACGTACGAAGTTCTACGTTGCATCTGACTGACTGACCTTGAGAACTCTATCTAAAAGTTGATGTCGTCTTATGAGTGAAGACGGGTCAGTGACTTCTTTATATAGGAGTAACAACACTAGACGATAAGCCTTATTTGTCTGTACGAAAAATGTGTTCAAGTGAATACCAAGAATACACCACTGACATCTGGTTAACATACTTTCCAACAATAAAATAGGTAGAAGTAAAGATGGTGGATATTGGATTTCAGTAAGAAAATTAGAACTAAGTGGTTAATAGATCGTAATTTACGAACAGTTATATAACACCTAGGAAAAACATAGCAACATTTTACCACTTAAACTCTGAAAATCGACAAGCATGACGAGACAAGACTAGGAACAAAGTTAGGCTATCCTTAGCATGACGAACGGGAACTTATTGGTTTCTCAGTGAGGGATTAAAAAAAAACCGATCGAAAAAAAAGTATACTGGAAAGGCTTTTAGATTTTTAAAAGCTTCTGAAGTTGCACTATACTTCACACACGAACCGTTCAGATGAGTTAACTGGATATGTTTTCAAGAAATCCACCCATACATATACCTATAAGGAATGATTTGTACCTCTGGAACCTTAGTTCTTGATTAATAGACGATACTGATTTGTGATAAAAGTTGGAAATCTTTCTTTTATTGTAAGAAATAATAGACGTAAGACTGGTAATGTTTCACGTCAAAACTGTTTATTTTCCCAATCGTTTAACCAGCTTTTAACTACATTCTCTTTCATGACTAAATGGTACCCTCCGATTAGCCAAAAAGTAGTATGGGGTCATTTATACATTTTAATGCTGTGTGAAAAGTACAAATAGGGGAGTTTACCGACATCGAAGTGATTTAGATTTAAATAACATGTCCTCCATTGGTCAGTGTTATACAAAGCCTGTTCAACATCATCCATGTAAATTTCATGATACACTTCAAAAATGAATTCTTAATAGTTTGTACTATTCAAATCTGAAGTAAAATTACTTGTGGCGTTATGTGATATTCAAGATCAGAAATCAATAGGTCGGTTAACAGTAGCAAGAGCAATTTAACATACTAATGGACTTTATTTGCAGCAGTTGATCAAAGATGGTGTATACAGGTACTCAATAGTTCTTAAAAAACTAAGTTGCACTTAGATACCAAACAGTAGAACTTGTAGAAAAACGCAGTGAATGCTATAGTATGATACTTAAATTGAATTTTAACTGCTTTTAGGTTATGATTTGGTCATCCCACAAAACGATAAGGTGGAAACTGTTTGTGCATTCTAAAGAAAGCCGAGTACAACTGATTTTAGTCAAAATGTCTATTCTCATAAACATGCTCTGCCTGTGTAGGAATGGGATACAATCGTATCAATGTTATTGTTGATAACCTGGAAATATCCCTAAAAAGCAACAATTTAAATAAAGGGCGTTGACACAGTGATTGGAACAACAAAATTTTGTTATCAATCGGTTAATATATCAGTGAAAAGGCAACAGCATTAAACGGGCAAACTCACGAAACTGTTACGTAGCTCTCAAGATTTGCGCTTTATCCAATATCCAATATCGTTTTTACGAGCCAGTCTAAACCAATTGATTTCTTTGGGCTCCATTCTTGTTCTTTCGGTACGGTTCCAGGTGTTCGGTAATGTCCAATGGATGGAGGTCTAGCCACTCGACTGTCTAATTCTAGTCAGTTGGTAGTTGGTTGTGAGTTTGTATGTCTCGGGATTTGAATGAAACGTTTGTTTCAGGGCAGTAGGGTTTCTGGATACTAGCAGCCGTCACATTACCAAACCGGAGATCAGTTAGTTGCAATGTGGAGAGTAATAAGGGTAATAAGGATAAATTAAAATGATAATATGAGTAAAATTTCAGAACTGAGTAATATATAGATGAATTTAGTTTATTAATTGGTAGTGAAGATTGTGAGGGAGGACCGAAGTGTAAGCAAGGGAGAGGAATAGGCGAGATAGATTAATTGAGTGATCTGAGGAGATGGCAATGGTAACAACTAGCAGGTCTCAAGATATGCATCAGGCACAGCTTGTCCAAGAGGGAGATGATAGTCCGCATGTGAGTACGTGATTATCAAGTCTCTTCTTAAAGCAGTCCACTGAGGGGGCTGTAACCACCTCGGCTGGGAGAGCATTCCAAGTTGCGACGACTCGCAATGAGAAAAAGTGTGCACGAATCTGAGTGTTTGCTCTTTGATGTGCAATCTTTTGAGGATTGCCTCGAGGGGAGTGGTGGTGATGCACCGGTAAGATGCTCACATTGGGATGGTTTGGCGTGTTTAATATGGTGCACGCCATAATCAGGCCACCTCTGATTCTCCTGTAGCTCAGTGGGAATAATCCCAAGAGCTGGAGTCTATCGTCGTACGGTTTATTTTTCAACCCTATCACCCATTTGGTTGCTCGTTTCTGCACTCGATCCAAGAGATTAATGTCTCTTTTAAGCAGAGGGGGTGCGATGACGTTGTGAACCTCCAAGTGTGGGCGCGTGTACGTCTTAAAGAGGGTTAAGAATAATTTCGGGGTTATAGCACCAAGCTGTCTTTGCATAAAGTGAAGAGTCGCATTTGCCTTGGCTGCAACCCCTACATAGTTCGGACTCGTGTGGAGGCTTTCTGTGGTTATTCAACCAAGATCGCGCTCGGAGGAGACATTAGGGAGCGGACTTCCATTGAGAGTGTAGGTGGTTTGCGTCATATGAGGCAGGAAATGCATGACGTGGCACTTTGGTTGGTTGAGTTTTAAACCGTTTTTCACTGCCCATTTCTCAATGGATGTAAGGTCCTTTTGAAGCTCAGTCGAATCCTCTTCGCTTCTAATGGACCTCCAGATCTTCCCATCGTCTGCGTAGATCAGTGCCGGTGAGCTAACTAAGCTTAGCAGGTCGTTAATGAATATCAGGAAGAGGAGTGGGCCTAGGATGGTCCCCTGTGAAACTCCTGAAGTGGATACTCTCCAACTCGCGTGCACCCTGTTTACCTTGGTGCGAAACTTTCTATTCTCAAGGTAGTTTCTGAGCCAAGATACGAGTGGGTCAGTGAAGCCCATTTCCACAACCTTTTCGATTAGGCGTGCGTGGGGCACTGTGTCAAAGGCTTTTGCGAAGTCGAGAAATACTACGTGCACTGGTATTTTACGGTCCAAGCAGGATGTCCAACTGTCCCATGCGATGAGAAGATTAGATGCACACGACCTGCCTTTCCGAAACCCGTGTTGAGCTTCATGTAGTATTTTATTCTTATCCATGTACTACCTCATTTGTTCGTCCACTAGTCCTTCCATAACCTTTGATAATATAGGTAGTAGTGCGACTGGTCTGTAACAGGCTGGGTCCTTTCTATCTCCTCCTTTGAAGATTGGAGAGAGAGTAGCTTGTTTCCATTCCGCTGGGAATTGGTGTGACTCCAGTGAATGCTTGAACAGGTTGCATAACGGTGAACAGAGGGCTTCAGCGCACTGTTGCAAGACTATAGGGCGGATGTTGTCACAACCTGGTGACTTACCTGGGCGTAAGGATTTTAGTTTCCTTAATACTAGGTCAGGAGTGATACGGATGTTCCCTAAGCCGTCAGCTGGCATTGGGTTGGCGTAATACTCTGAACATGTAGGCGCCTGGTTTAATTGATCAGAAAAATGGGTGTTGAAGATCTCGGCCATCTCTCGGTTGGTGAGGTCTTCTCCGTTAGGCCCTTTTAGGGGGCACAACCCTTGATTAGTAGGTTTTCTTTTGGACATGAACCTAAACAGATGTTTCGGGTTTGCCTCTATTCTGGCGGCTAGTATCGTCTGGAGTTGTCTCCTGTTGCTTCGAACTTTGGCATTGCATCTGTTTCTCAATGCCAAGTAAGAACTGCGATCGGAATCCTTCAAGGAGACCTTCCACTTGTGCCAGGCTTTCCTCTTCGCCTGTAGCAAGCGTTCCGTGCCGCGCCAAACCCAGGTTCTTCTGTTCTGGCGTTTTGGGTGTGATTGAGGTACGTTGTCTACGACAGCGTTTTGGATGATATCTCTCACTGCTTGCCAGTGATCATCTACTGTCAGCCTCGACCACTCCCGTGGCCATGGGGCATATAGGAGCACCTCTCTCATGCGTGTGTAGTTTGCCCTACTGTAGCAAAGGTAAGGCTCGTTATCGTCCGATGTCAGCGTTTCGTTTGTGACCATGTTAAACAGGACTGTGCCATGGTCACTACTACCTATTGGAGCGCGGATGTGAACATCCTCAACCAGGAGCTGGTCGTTCGTTAACAGATGATCTAGGTTTGAGGACTTCCCTTCCTTAGTCCACCTAGTGGCGCTGCGTACGTGCTCAGTCATGCCAGAGCTTCTAATGGCTGTACCAAGTTGTCTTTGGAACCAACCAGTGGGAGTGAAACTCTGATTGCTGAGATTTAAAGATGGGGTATTGAAGTCTCCGGCTG